CCCGTCTGAGGGGTGGAATGCAAATCGGATGTTTTGGATTCGTCAGACAATTTTGGTTGTTGTGACGACTTTTTAGGCACTTAAAGTTTTAATATGTTCATACCAGTCTTAAAAGTATCCCCTACACAGACTTTTGCAATTTTTTAGATCAATTTATACAGCGCAAGTTTAAGGTTTCTCCTATGTACCAGGTCGCTTTTGTACTTGAAAAGATGGTGTGGCAGGTCCAATCGATGTTGCTTCTCTCGATTAGTGTTCTAGCGTATGATCATCACGGTATGTTATGTAAATATTTTTTTGCATGGATCAAGTCTATTAAAATGCTGCATAAATAAACTTTAGAAGTCGATTTGGCCTTTTGATTCAATTGGTTTCGATAGAAAATTTGCTTCCGTCATCCGATTTGGTGACAACGTTATTTCAAGAAGAGAAACGCAATATCAACGTGGGTATGCTTATGATGATGAAGCAGCATTGGAGAGCTGCTTGGAGGGTTTCGTTGTAGCATTTGCTGCTGTATTGAGCTCTACTCGGGTCGATCTGTCCTGTTGTTCATGTAGTTACTGCTCTTATGATTTCAAGACATACATAATTGGTCTACCGATAAGTGCAATAATGGTTGGTGAAAAGAAATGGTGCACGTGCTTATAACGATAGCATTTTGACTTTCTTAGCATTTTCATTCCCACGTTGATACTGGAATTGAGAAGGTCTTGCTACTGAAGCGGTCGACGAAAGTAAAATTTCTGTCGAATCTAATTGAATCGGAAACTACTCAATACATGTTTGCAGCTTTTATTACACGAGATCCGCGCAAAAGATGCCTACATAACATACCTTGATGAGCGATAACTTACGCTAGAAGACTAATCGAGAGAAAAAACATTCGACTGCTAGAGCGGAACTTGCTGTTATCATCAATCAGCATGGTGCCAGTGACGCTGTATAAACTATGACTACTGAACAATGACCAACAGTGGTAGTCTAAGCATAATGGTGAATGTCGGCGTCATAAGAATTAGGATGTTGAGCGTGTTCCCGTTAACGGAAGATGAATACATGTATAACATGATCACGTTTGCAAAGAAAGGCCTGCGAAGGATTGATGGTTTCTTCAGGTCAAGTGCCTCAAGTGTAGCCAATTTGGACTTTGTATGTAATGAGCAGTCTCGGATGCTGACACTTTGATTTGACTGGATTACTACCTGTTTTACTATTCAATGACCGAACCTTTCGCTATGCCGTAACCACAATATCATACAAATGAAAAACTCGCGTCCTTCTGATTTTAATGTACATTAACAACACAAGGCTTATGATGCACCGAAGATGAAAACCAAGCACATGCTGAAGGTTATTGAGCGTATTGGAGTCAACACGAAGAAGGTTCATCTGATGTAGTCGTATATTTAGGCGCTGGAGAAGATTTATGCAGCAATCTCACTATAATCCAGACAACGCGTAAAGATTAGAGAGATATACTAGAGGTATGTAATCGGGGTTTTGCTGTTCAACGGAGTCACCATCACTGTTAAAGAATGTGCATATGGGTGCATATGGGTGTGGATATGACGAGCTGTATTTGCAGTCTAGTGAGTTAGAACTTATCATATTTTAAGTGGCGAACTCAGTGCCAATGAGAACTCGAGCCAATCAAGCCGCGTCAACGTGTAGCCACATTCACACAGCACCACGTCGATTCGCTTGATATGTTTCAATCAACGGTGCTCTATATGGCAGAAATGTTTAATGGCCAAAAAACTGATGCTCATGGAGCTGATGCTCTTTACACCGAGATGGATCGATGTAAACTTTTGGTCGAGCTAGCAATCAAACCCACGCTAATTTTGTCATATGGTCAATACTTTCAGTTCGGCGTGGCTTCTAACGTGTCGTCTGCCATTCGTTAAGGTGCTTGATGAACCGATCAACAATTCAGATCTCATGCAATGTTGGTGTCGGTGTTGTTAACGTTTCACACGACCAACACTTTGTGCAGACCTGTTTTGGGTGATGAGTGACCAACAGGGGACCCGGTATTGAGGGTCGATGAGCGATCACATTCTTGCTGGAAAGGGAGACAATGAAGACCCTGCGTTCTTGCATGGTCAATAATCTTAGACTTTCATTTACTTGTGGATCCGATACAATTACAGATGCTTAGTATAAGCTTTCGATTGTACACTAAATTAATGATTGCTATCTCTTACGAACTATATCTTTTGGTGCTTCACCTATCCATTGCCCTTTAAACGGTCGAACTTAAAAATAGAAAAATAACCATGAATTAGTCAGGTTCATCTTTAATATGTTGATGTGGAATCGTCTTGAGAAGAAATGGAACGACTTACAAGTGGGTCGTCAAGGTTCTTATTCTGTTGAACGTCTCGAAAGC